TATATATATATATATACTATATATATATATATATGTATATATATAATTATTATATATATATATATATATATATACATATATATATATATATATATATATAAGTATATATATATGCAATTCAAGAAATAGATTTCAAATATGCCTACTCGATGCAATTCACAGTTTCTGTACTTATTGGTAACAAGCAGTATATACGCAACTGAGTAACCAAGTACTTCTGAAGTCCAAACAACGAATACAATACTACACCACTCAGCAACGCATCCAACAGCGTACCCACCGCAGCCCACCCCACAACAGCGAAGCGCAGCACTATTCACTACATATTCGTTTAATACAAAACACGCCCAGAAACGTCTGCAACCCAAGTCACTCACTAGCAGCAGAGAGTTCCATGAGCACAACAGTTAGACTGAGACCTAGGCTCATCTTCACCCCTCAATTGGCCGTAGAGCTGCACCACTTACACGCGAGAGAGATAGACAGCATTCAATAGATGATTACACGCGTCATTCGAGGTAGGTCAGATCTGGGTGCGGGTGGGCATTCCAGTACACAATACCCACACTCTACTCAGTGTCCTTCACATCCCAACAACGCATAGTGGCGTGGTGAAAGGGTATTCATTTGTGTGCTGCGTGTATGCATGGGCAAGCTCTTCTCGTAGAACGTTTTATTTGCGCTATCGCTAGTTGTGATCCGCTGTTGCGCATATATGGTTCGGGCGGAGACCACTCGTATATCGCTGGTCGTGTGTAGTGAGGCATGTCCATACACAGTACGACATGTCACAGTGTAGTAGGCTATAATATACTAAATTATATCTAGTCACGTTCGGGTCACAGGTATGCTATTAATTATGTGTATGCCATGGTATGAGATGTTTATATAAGGCCAAAAGCCGAATCAAGAGCGCATTAAGGGGGTGGTTTCATCCGCACCGATTAAGGGGGCAGTTTCATCCACACTGCCATCTCTAGAGATCCTACTGCAACTACGCAATACCACGGACAGACAAATGTATCCCAATGACACAAACACACCCGCACCCAGACAACAGTACCACACAGCCTCGTGATCAATGGTGTATATGTATGTGCCCATCAACGGGGCCAGGATAAACGCCACAGAGTCGACAATAGAACGCACGCCCATGTATTCCCCCTGGTGCTTGCCAATGCTTCTGTGGGCCACAAACCCCGATGCGATGGGGGTGGCTAACATCTGTCCAACGGTCATCACCGTACAGCCCAGGTATATGATAAACGGATGGTGCACAAATGCGAAGACGCCAAACCCCCAGGTGATTAGGAACGACCCAGCGCCAATGGTTAGCATGGGGTCCAGGGTCTGCGACCACGTGGTCAGGACCATCTCAAACACTATCACCAGCACCGTGTTCATGGAGAATAGGGCACCTGTCTGGCGCTTGCTGAAGCCATACATGTCTCGGGCGTACAGTGGGAGGGTGGAGAACAGCTGGAACAGAGCCATGAACGTAAAAAAGTTAAGGACCAAGAAGGTTAGGAAGATCGGGTCACGCAACGGCTTCCTATCACGCACTTGCTGTGTCGCATCTGTGCGCAGAAGCACTCGTTCAACACGTTCTGAATCAGCTTGCTCACGCGATGACTGCGCGTGTGGTGGTGCATAGGCGATGTCTCCTTTCACCACTCCCGTTGCATGTGCTTTCCTGTAGCTGTCATCTCCACATCCGCTGGCCACGTCCTGCTGTGTCTGATTGACTGGGTTGCCCATACAGCTGTCAGCGCTCTGTGTGACGTCCACCGGTGTGCATATCTTGTCTATCCCTATCTCACCCCAGTCTAAGAGCGTCTCTTCACCGGCACCTGCTCTCGCACTCCTGTTGCCGGCTGTGTTACTACCATCAATGTCTATCTTGTTGGTCTTGTCTAATGAATCTTCTCCATTGCTCGAGTCTCTTTCATCCCTGCCTAAGTTAGTGCCACCACTCTGGCTGTGATCATAGGCGTCGCGTCTGCGTCTGATTTCGTCTGTATGTGAACTTACCTGCGCACACGAGGCTATACTGCTTCGAGCTTCCACATCGCCACAGTCTCTCTCATTCTCTGCCTTGTCTTGCACTGCATATGCACCAGTAGTGGCTTCTGGACTGACAATTTGCCCTAACCCCAGCATGTACCACATCCACAGAGCGCAAGCAAGCATGCACGAAGCATCCACCACAAACAACAGCGTAAAACTGTACATCGCTAGCACCCCCCCCACCGCAGGCCCAAGACTCATGCCGCAGTTGATGAATGTGCGTTGCAATGAGAATGACCGGGCTTGCTGGCCAGGCTGTGACAATTTGGCAATGGCGGTGGCATTCGCCGGACGGATGCCTTCGCAGAAGAGGGCCAAGAAGAGCACAGAGGATGTGATACTCCACGAAGTAGTGCAATGTGGCACGAGCAGGCAGATGGGTACGGCTATTATCATCATGGTTACTTGCACTCTGATAGCCCCGTAGGGTCTCACCAGTTTGCCGGCCATGTACGAGCCTATCATCCCTCCTAATCCATACATGCTGATGAGCTGTCCCGCTTGCTTCTCTGAGTAGTGCAGGCTCTCAGTCACATAGAGCGAGAGAAAGGGTACCACCATGCGACCACATCGGCAGATGAACATACACACAGACATCACCCATACCCCTCGAGAGTGGCCGGTGTATGCTTCTTGGTACAGACATGCTATCGCACGCAGCACCATGTTCAAAGAGTGCTGTATATTCTATGGATCTGACTACTAAATCTTAAAGACACTACTGTGCACTTCGAACGCTTAAATTCACTGCTGCACACATTTGTGGTTGAATGAACAAACAGTACGACAAGTCAAAGTATATACTTTTGAGCCCTTCATTAGTAGCGGTCTAACCTCGAAAAGTATTAACCCTAAAAATACATAGGTCCATGTTTTTCTGCGAGTTTCATATTTTTAGAACAGATCCGGCAATGATAATAAATAAATAAAGTCACATGGAAAGCTATGTTTTAGAAATACACATCACCATCAGATAGCAACGGGCAGTCTTGGCTCATAGGACGCTATGGATACTGCAGTATGCCTATGCATACAGTATGAATGTACGTATATGTAGGTTGATGTCCACCTGAAAGGTATGTCCGCACAGAGGGACCAACAGTTGTCGTTGTGAGAAGTCGACTGCCTAACTGAAACGTACTAAATTGAGTACCAACTACGGCAAGGCTCTAAATGTATTTGACACAACATGACCATAAACTACGAGTGAAACATAATCAGTATCCTATCGTGCGATGGATTATCTTTCGCTGGAAGCCAGCTCTCTTGGAAGGCGGCTTCGAATTGCTTTTTGAGCCCAAGTTGGGTGCAAACATCTGTACACTGTCTAGTACAGGCTCTTGAACGATGTTCACGAAAAAGAAATGGAGAGTGCGAATAATTACAAAAAAAACACACACACTATATATATATAAATATATACTTACATACAAACATACACACACACATATATATGTATACTATTTATTTATTATATATATATATATATATATATATATATATATATATATTAGCATACATACATGAATATACATATATACATATATATGCATATGCATATTTATATTATATATATATATGTATATAAATATATTACATATATATAGTATATATATATATATATA